GCCCTCTCGGCGCTCTTCGTCCATCAAGCCCTTCCAGGTCATGCAAGTCATGCGCCGCGCCAAAGCCCTCGAATCCACCTCCCCCGTCCCCATCCTGCATCTGGAGGTCGGCCAGCCCTCCCGCCCGCCGCCGCCCGCCGCCACGTCCGCCGCCATCGCCTCCCTCAACCTCCCGCCCTCGCAGCAAGGCTACACCACGGCCGCCGGTCTCCCGCATCTGCGCTCGCAAATATCCGCCCACTACGCCCGCCGCTACGCCCACCCCGTGCCGCCCGACGCCGTCCTCGTCACCGCGGGCAGCTCGCCCGCCTTCACCGCCCTGTTCCCGGTCCTCTTCGACCCGGCCGACCGCGTCGCCGTCGCCGTCCCGGGATACCCGTGCTACCGCCACGTCCTGGCCGCCTTCAGCGTCGCCGTCGTGCCCGTCCCGGTCGACCACCACTCCGACTACCAGCCCACGCTCGCCCAGCTACGCGCGCTCCACGCCGCCGCCCCGCTCAAGGGGCTCGTCCTGGCCTCGCCCTCCAACCCGACGGGCTCGGTCCTCTCCGCGGCCCGCCTCCGCGCGCTCGCCGACTGGACCCGCGCGGAGGGCGTGCGCCTCGTCGTCGACGAGATCTACCACTGCATCGCCCGCGCCCCGGCCCCCACCGCCGCCGCCTTCGCCCACGCCGTCGTCGTGTCCTCGCTCAGCAAGTACTGGTGCCTGCCCGGCCTGCGCGTCGGCTGGCTCGTCGTGCGCTGCCCCGCCACCCGCGCCGCCGTCGAGCGCGCCCTGCAGAACATGTGCATTGCCGCCCCCACCGTCGCCCAGCACGCCGCCGCCGCCGCCCTCGCCCCCGCGTGCGAGCCCGCCCTCGACGACTACGTCCGCGCTTACCTCGCAGCCGCAGACGCCCTCGTCGAACAGCTCAACGACATCGGATTCGAGGACGTCCGCATGCCCGACGGCGCCTTCTATGTCTGGGCTGCGTGCGGCGCCGTGTGCGATGGCGTCGGCGTTGCTGGCTCCGTCGAGCTGTGCGAGGCGCTGCTGGAGAGCAAGGGCGTCGCTATTACGCCCGGGACGGACTTCGACCCCGACAGGGGCGAGCGCTTCGTGAGGTTTAGCTGCGCGGGGGGGGAGGAGGTTGTGCGCCAAGCAGGGCGGAGGATTGCCGAGTTTGTGAGAGAGGCAAGCGGTTCACGGGGGCGAGTGCCTTCGCAATCACACAACTTCTGACCATATCCATGTATCTGATGCGCCCCCGGCCTCGGCGACTGCATGAGCACCCTCATCAAACTGTACAGTATTTATATATGAAAATCGCTCTGCCACCTAATTTCATTTTTTGTTCGTATCCAGCAAGCAGCTCTCTTCCCACACCCCTTCCTCCGCCCATCGCCCTCGCCTCCTCCTTCGCCACCATGCGCAAGGCTCCCGCAATGCGCTGCGCCCCCAGCCTCACCCTCTTCCTCGTCCTCTTGACCATCCCTCTGGTCCTCAGCGACAGCAGCCCCCCCACCCATGTCCCCCTAACTCCCATCTCCATACGCGCCCCCGTATCCCCCAACCCCCTCCTGCCCCACATCCCGCCCGGCCTGCACCCCGCCGACGGTGTACCCCCGCCGGGGCTGTCCGCGCTCGAGCAAGCCCGCTCCAAAGCTAATACCACCGCCGCGCAAGGGGTAGATGCAGGCCCCGGCGCGGTCCCCCCCGGCGAAAAGGCGCCCCCCGACCTCGACTCGGCCCCCCACCCGCTGACCGGCCACCCGCTTCCCGAGCTGCAAGGCGGCGGCCACGGCAGCCCCGCGGACGCCCAGAACGCCCCGCTTCCGCACGTGCGTTGCGCCGACGGCGTGTGTGTCGAGCTGGGCGCCGAGCTGTTGGCCACCATCGAGGGCGAGCAATGCCGCAGCCTGTTTGTGAACGGCAAGTGCCCCGTCACGTGCGGCCAGGGCTTGGCGACGGTGCTTGGTAACGGGAGTTGGCCGGACTGTGCGCGCGCGTGCGGGAACGATGTCGTGGGCGGTGCTGCGGAGAGATGGAGGGATATGTGCGATAGGAGGCAGGAAAGTCTTATCGATCAGGGGAAGGAGGTCGTCAAGGGGTTCGTGGGGGAGGGGTTGAGGACCAAGCTAGAGTGGAGGGGCGTGTTTCAGTTTTTCTTGGGAGTCACCATCTTGGTCATAGGAGTAGGGTATGGGTATCGCAAAGGCGCAGGGGCCGCGCAAATTGCGTACAGGTTGCAAAAGAGGAGGCTGTTGGGGAGGAAAAACTCAGATCAGGACTTGCCGATTTAGTTGGAACGGCAGGGAAGCGTGTGCATATTTGTATTTCGCGATATTGGCTGCAGAGATTTGACAATGGTGTAATCGTAGTTGCTCCCGTAGCTCGGATGTATGTGTAAGATATGGTCACGGTCTCGAAGCACAGTTAAGTTTACACTGGTTCATCTTGTATGAACAATTGTGCTGTTGGTGTCGCAATACCCGGTCTGTCCTCTAATCCATCCTACCGTCCAGCTCCCTAGTAGTGACGCCATCCTTAGTGATAATGTGGACGACAGCCCCCCATCCAGATATACAATCGCGGTCGAGCGCGGCGAGCAAACTCTGCGACACGGTCTCAAACAGGTCCTCCGGCTCCAAGTTAGGCCTGTAAAACGTCTCGCACGTCCCCAGCAAACTCTCGGCGCACGTCCCCGCAACCGCAAAATCATCCGCCTCGGCGATGCAGCCCAGCAAGTCCATCGAGCACAAGAAGGGCTTGTTGTCCTTATCCAGGCCGGCGATGACCGGCTCAGAAAAGTACGGGCCGAAGCGCTTTCCGTAGAGAGTGGAGGAGACGAGATTGGAAAATGTCTTGGGCTTGATCTTGCGGTTTTCGCGCATTTCGTACATCTCCAGCCTGAAGCGGAACAGCTGGTCTAGCGTGGTGATGTCCGTCATCAGGCCCGTTAGGCCAAGATAGAGCTTGTCGTGCATGGGGAAGATGCGCGTCGCGTCCATCGCCACTGTTGTCTGGCAGGATGAAGTTGAGATCTAAGTTAGAAGGTGTTCGAATGCCAGACGGCGGATCGACGGATGCCGACTGTGAAGAGTGCTGGACGTACCAATTGGACTCCGAGACGGTGGTCACTAGCAATGGCAACGCAATCCTTACCCGCCATGGCAATGACACATCCGCCATTGTACTCAAGAATACTCTGCGAAGGCGCAGCGTCGAGATCAAGGTACGCAAGGAAGCAGTTAGCAATGTATGTTCGGCGATGTCGAGCATGGCTGCGTCGCTCGATTGAATAAGCGGATTCAGATGCAGTTGAAACAACGTACCATCTCACCCTGTGTTCAAGAACTCGCAGGGCCCGACCGTGGCGCAATATATCCTCAGTGTGAGCGTGTCCCTCGTAAAAGTTGATGGCAGCGTCTAAGAGGCGTCGAGCAACGTCAATAGTTTGGCGATGGAGCAATGAGCAAGACCGAAATGACGTCGGATCCGGTTCCAGCAGCTCTGAAAACCACCAAAAAAAGTTATTATACATCATACCTTCGACTGTGCACAAATTCCTGTTAGCGCGCTGTAGCTCGCCCTACCCCCACGCCCTCTTCACGTATCAATTCTCGCCATCTCCACCACATGCCATCTCCCAACTACGCCCCGCAGAACGCCATCCTGAAGATGCAACGCGCGCTCTCCCCCACCGCTTTGCGCGCGAGCGCACGCCTTCTCCGAGTCCGTCACGGCTCATCCGGGGGCGCTCCCACGCAGCTCAGCGCGCAATGGGCAGCAAAAGTGCGTTCGGAGTCAAACATCTTGACACCAGACGACCCGCCGAGCGCGCCGCTGCCGGAGACGCACGAGCTCGGGGAGGGCCAAGCCGATTTTTGTAACTTTGTGGACAAGTACGAGGACGTCTCGACGTTACAGGCGGTCACGGGGCTGGGTTCTATGCTGCTGTTCACCTTCGGCGTGTACAAATACGCTACTAAGCAGGCAAGGGAGAGCACCCCCCTGTTCACGAGGAGGGAGTTCCCGCACGTGCAGGAGGATTTTCCAACTTGGGCGCGCTCTGATGAGGTGCGTAGATGAAGGCGATGTCGTTGGGCAGACAATAAAGCACATGATGGTGCCATCACTTATTGCCTGAGTTATTTACGCTTGGGCGACAAACTGCACCTATTTGCCTATATATGCCGATTTCTCCTATCAGTCGTAGATCGGTATGCTGTGCCCCATGCCCTTGCAAAACACACCCGGGTCGTTGTACCTAGTCCCCCGATCCAGTGCGGCGATCTCCGCCATCTCCTGTTTATCCAACTCGAACCCAAATACATCCATATTCTGTCCCAGTCTCTCCACTTTGCAAGTCTTGGGAATGACGCTAGTCCCCCTCTGCACCCCCCACCGAAGCGCAACCTGTGCCACGCTGCAACCTTTCTTCTCCGCAATCTTTTTCAACACGGGGTCGTCCAACAGGCGATCTCCCCGATCCATGTTGAGCTCCACATAACTGCTCGCTCCCAACGGCGAAAAGGCTGTCACCTGCACGCCCTCGCGTTTGCACAGCTCGAGTAAATTTACTTGTTGCAAGTACGGGTGCATCTCCACTTGCAAAACGGCCGGTTTTATGCGCGCGTAGCTCAACAAATCCATGAGCAGTGCCGCTGGAAAGTTGCACACGCCAATATGCGAAACCAGCCCCTCGTCGACGAGGGCCTCCATGGCCTTCCACGTCTCAGCGATGGGGACGCGCTCCTCCACCAACTTTCCATCTTTTAGCCACTCGGGTGGGTATCTCTCGACTGGGTCTACGTAGGCCAAAGAGATGGGAAAATGCATGAGGTACAAGTCGAGCTTCTGCAGGCGCAGGTCTGCCAGAGAGCGGAGGAGGGCCGGCTTAACATGCTCGCGTTTATGAAAGGTGTTCCAGAGCTTAGAGGTAACAAATATGTCGTCGCGCGTGACTGTGGCGGCCGACAGTGCGTCTGAGATGCCCGCGCCGACCTCTTGCTCGTTTCCGTAGTCGCAAGCGCAGTCGAGCATGCGGTAACCGGCGCGGAGGGCGGCGGTCACGACGGGAGCGGTGACGCCTTTCGGGGCCTTCCAGGTGCCAAGGCCTAGAGAGGGGAGGGGCGGGGGGTGGGGCGGGTGGCCAAGCGGGAGAGTAGGGATCCTCATTTTGGGAGAGGGTAACGGAAGGAGGAAGAGAGGCGCGGATGGGAGAGGCGGTTTGTAGGGCAGGAAAGACAGGCAGGCAGAGTGGGTTGAGGTGCTTCTCTGCAAGAACATCCAACCAGAAGGATCGCCCGGCTCTGGCGCCGACACGTGTGCTTTCAGGGGAGGCCTGGGGGACATGTACAGTACCCAAAGGGTACGTACCCAAAGGGTACTGTAGTACTGGAGGGATGTCTTTAGTCAATGTCCTTTTGAGCGAATGCTGTCTCAGTGCTGTCCTACACAATGAGTACTACTCATTGAGTAGGACAGAACAAGCGTAGGGTACTACTTCATTTAAAATACAGAACAAGCGTAGGATACTACTTTAAATGAAGTAGTACCCTACGCTTGTAGTACCCTACGCTTGTTCTGTGCAGTACGATGTTCTGAAGGATCTGGTTTTCTGTGGATAAAGCTCAGCATTACACACAACCTCGGCGGCCTTCAACATGTCATATGCTTGCAGTCAAGCATTTGGCAGTCAAGCATTTGGCAGTCAATTAAAGCTTTACTCGTCTCACTCATACTATAAAGGGAAACGAGGACACCCTTAAATGCACATACCGCACCGCACCCGGCGTTGAAAAGTTACAAGAGAAAAGCCCTCATCATCACCAACAAGTCTAAGTCTCTTCTCACCCCAGACAGCTTCGATTCCATTGTCTTGGGTAAATTTACCAATGCACTCTCCCCCTTCCATCAACACCCAAGAAGCAGCATACGGTCATACTTTACTAATGAATAAACTTCGCGTTGGGCAACCATGGTGCCGTCTTGCTGTCGGAACGGGGAATGTTCGACCGTACCACCGTCTACCGTCTACTCAAGGCCTACCACGGGAACCCCGAGAAGGACATGTCGGGGGGTCAACCTTGTTACAACCGTTCCGCCTTTTCTTTCCCACAATGCTCGAGACTACATCACCACTGATCTTCCCCGTGCGCAACAAGCCCGCCCGCCCCACCACTGCACGATACGCTCCATTCCTACACTTGTACACCACTCCAAACCTACTCTCTTCTGCCAACGCGCGAGGCAGAGGGTGCGCCGGGACTCGTGCGTGATGCAGGGGCGCCCTCAAGCCATTCCATCGCTTCCACTTTCAGAAACCAAAAAAAAAAGCCAGACTGTCGACACGCGCATGATCCCCTCGTTACTGTACAACCCCCTCCACGAATCCTGTGCGGCGCGGATACATGTTCGCCATCCATACTGTACCGCCATGCGTTCTATCAAATTTCCGAGCCCCGCATCTTTGCCTGATTCCACTGGTCAACCATACGGGTCACTGCCTCGCACCTCGTAACGTTGCCTTTTCGCGTCTGGCTGCTGGTGCCAGAATGACTGCCAGCAGTCATCCTCGCGAGTGTTAATGCGCGTCCAGTGCGCGTCCATCTCCCCAGCCTGGCTCGCGTCGAACTCACGGCAGGCTTTGTCGCGGAATAAGTAGCTAAAAAGGCAAAGTGCCGTAGAGCATATACTGTACGAGAGGTAGAAGGGCCTGCCTCGAGGTGCTTTTCTTCTCGGTGTGTGGTGTTCGTTGCTCGCACGGACACATACCCCTCGAGGGGTAGCAACAACTGCAAGATGTGCATTTTTGCTACTTTCTAACGCACTACTGTACTCTCTTGGTGCTCTTCAAACAACAAATCGAGTGGGATCGCGTCTGCCCTTAAATGTTTCGAGAGTTGGCGATCGTACCCTTCGAAGGGCACAATTCGAAGGGTACAGTACTGTGCACTATCGTAACACGGCTCCTGCTGGCATCTCTCTTTCGCAGTTCCACGCCACGACTTGCAAGTACTCGAGTACCCTGGGTACAGTACCCTTCATTACAAAACAATGATGCATTGAGAGTCAAGACATGAATCATCTCAGAGTGCCCTTCTCCTCGCCGAATCACTCTATTTCCGTAAAGCTGGGCTCTGTTTGGATCTTATTCCGGCATTGTTGACAGTGCGGAATTTTCCTTGTCCTGCTACGCACGAGAAACTCATTTTTGCCAGATAATGAAGTTCAACAAGGCTTTAGGAAACACACCTCGCAGACTGAATCTAAATTTACGATATTTCTCTGACGGGAGCATGAGCCCCTATAAAAAGGCTCCAAGAGATATCTAGAGGTTTTCGTACAGATAAAGAAAGAGTTTCAGACCTGCGAGGACAGTGTATTCGAGCCGCGCTCCACTCCCTTCATGGAGACTTTGTCGACATCGTTCAGAAAATGACTTAAATGCTCCGTTGCCAGTCCTACATGCGAAACGGCACATGTCTATCAAGCCCTTGCATATGCAACCTTATTGGCACTACACCTTAAACCACACCCCGCATTGGAAATCCCGTTTTATGGGGCAAACACACGGGACGCCGATGAGTTGAAACCATGAGTCTTCCTGTAACTGTAGAGCTTTATATACCATCGTCGAGATCTTGCCCCGTCGTTCGTTGCTCGAATATATTTGCCCGCAGGTGGTTTCTATGGTCACCGCAACATCCGCAGCAACCTCTACTCTTATCCTTTATCCTAATTCGGCTCTCCCCCCTGCTTTCTCCAATTCTCCCTCCTCATCGCCTCCCGATACAAACTCCTTATCATGCGGACCGCCTTTCTTCTTGCTGCAGGCTCTCGTGGAGACACAGAGCCATTCTTCTCTCTCTCCATGGCCTTGATAACTGAAGGCGCTTTTGACCACATCCATCTTTGCATGCAAGCGGAGTACACCGCTCTTATCCCAAAACACCCTCAAATTACCGCCCATTTTATCCCGTTCAAAACGACAACCATCATGTTCTATATGCTGTACGAGTTTCTCAAGGACGGCCTTCTCTCTCTCTTCACAGGCAAGTTCGACCCGCTTAAGGCACAAAATCGTGGACTGGGTAACTTGCAGTACTATTGCATTCCGCGCTTTTATTCTTTTCTCCGAACACTGATCGACGATTTGCGACCTGATGTTATCGTGTCTACATCTGTGTTCTCCTTTACTGCGCTTACGCTAGCTCGTCATCATGCAGTCCCTTTTGCTGCAGTGCATTTCCAACCAGTACATCCAACAACGATGTACCCTTACATGGTGGCCGACCTACCTACCTCCTTGCAAGCTGCCATTGACATTGCAAAATTGCATTGGACCGAAGCGCCTGTGCGAAAATCGGAATATCTGCTATCGTACGACAAAGCTTTGCAGTGCTACCTTGGCGCAGTGCTCCCGATTAAATTGAACGACTTTCGGGAGGAGTTGGGATTGAGAAGACTCAGACTAGACGAAGTGGATAGCGAGCGGTACTCTCACGACGAGAAAATTCTCAGTTTATATGCCTATCCTATAGAATTGGTCCCGAGAGATCCGTGCTGGGGAGCGAATGTGCATGTCGTAAACTCAGTTTCAGATGAATATGTCCCGCCAGGTTGGACTCCAGAACAAAAGTGTCCCAAGACACTGGAATACCTCCGTAAATCCACGCAACCGTTCTTGGTCACATTTGGTTCTATGTCAGTACCAGGGTGTGCTGCATGGACGAGTAGACAGATGCTCCAGGGTCTGCGCGATGCGAATGTTGGAAATGTGCTATTGTTGAAAGGTTGTGCTAATCTTGGGGCGCACAACCTGTCGTCGTACCAGGACCGCGATCTAATCGAATGGGCTGCAGAAAACGTTTTCTTCACTGACGAGAGTCCGCAGTATAGCTGGTTGATGCCGCAATGCCGGGCCGTACTATGTCATGGAGGATCCGGGACGGTATGCGCCTCGTTGCGTGCAGGGCTTCCTACTATGGTCGCACCGGTTGCAGCTGATCAATATTTTTGGGGTCGGCTGATAGCAGAGATGCAACTCGGGGCAACAGTGGAACCATGTTTAAGAAAAGCCGATGCAAACGCATATGTTAAAGCTATTGCAATTGGGATGGAAGATGAAGTGGCGGAGAGGCTAAACAAATTGTCGCAGCAGATTCGTTGTAGACCAGGCGGTGCCAGCAATGCTTCGAAATTAATTGCAAAACTCGTTACCTGAGCGAAAGGCCTTTACACGTGTACATAACGTCGGAAACGTCTCCATGATACTTATCCTTGTCGGATTCCTATTGCCCTTAGTACTCAGCAGTGTACTAGCTAGAACTAGCGATACCCTGTAGTATTCCTGAGAAAGCACAGCGCTTATTCTTTTCAATCAAGAGAGACCGATAAGTAAATTAGAGTTGCAGCTGCGGGCCAGAAAGGAAAACGCTTCACAATCCCTATCGAGAAGCACTCATGAGGATAGGGACTAGGAGCATAGTCTCGTCCACAAAGACTATCCAGCACACCTTCTGCAGTCACTATTGTTTATGAAGTTTGATGAAGCGGCCAATTCCATAAATGAGGGGCTCTGGCTGACCTATTTACACACACGTTCTTGGCACCCATATAGGCTACCGCCGACAGCTTCGTGAGTTGAAAGGGCCTTATGCCACGGCTTTGAGCTGCACATCTAAGCGATGGTTCCTCGTTCGGTTAAATGAGAAGGATTTTTCAGCAAATGCTTTAATGCGTGTTTAGCTATCGGGTACTCTTTGCCTGCGACAATTCAACTTGGCGCAATTCTAGAAGATCTCTAGCGACTTTGCATATGTGTTTAAACCGAACTGGGCCAAGCTTAGATCCGCCATACCATCTCGACACCACACAAATGACGTCGATAGCATTCGTCTGTTGCAAAATGAACAAAATATTCTTCCCTGCCCCGTTCTCGCCATCGTCGTCCGCGTCTTGTTGAATGGAACGTTCCGTTGCAATACGGTAGGCAAAAGGGTTGTGCGTGGCTGTCGCTATTTTTCGATTGGATGCCTTAAGTTGCTCTAAAACTGCATCCACGTCGCTAGATGATCGAACCTCCGCAACGTGTGCTTGAAAGACGCTTTTGCGATCAGTAAGCGGCTCACCGTGCATTATTTCATATTGATCTTCGGAGGATTGTTTGGAATTGTCTGTGGGTCCAGAGACTGCTGCGCCAGCGTCGCGGCTCAGCTCGCTATCATGCGAGAAGGTCTCCAGGATGGATACAATATCCTGGCAATATTGGAACAAACAAACCTCCCCTTCCGGAGCGAAAACGTCATCTAGCATTTGTGCAACGAGACGTGCTGCTGTCGCTGATGAAAAGGCATCGCTGCGCAACGTAGGTGGGTTGGGTTTTGCGGTGGTAGGATATCCACTTGGCAGCGAAGTAGAAAGCGAAATCTTCCTTCCTAGCGTATGCGGCTGTGTCAGAAGGCTCTCCAGCGAAACAGAGATTTTAGCTGTGGCGTGCAGGGGATCGTGGCTCTGAAAAGAGACATTCTCATCACCGTAGATTGCTTGCAGTGCTTCCACCTCTTGCAAAACAAGCGAGTTGTTGTCGGAACTCATATTAACGCACACATGGCATGGATGGAGAAATACGAAAACGGCCCAGCACCTCTGGATTCGGTAGGTGCTGCGAAGGAACCCTTCACGCTGAGGGCCTCACGTGGGACGGAGTGATAGGCAGTGTGATTGCGAGCTGTCCGTGCGACAAGAGGGCTTAGAGCAACAGTTGCTTCTGCACGACAGAACTACTGAAGCCATTTTGAGGAGACGGGACAGAGCGAAGGAAAAAATGGCGGCCACATGGACTTCATTGATTGGAGAGCGAATCTGTAAGGCAGGAAGAGCATTCAAAGCGGCTGTTTCTTTAATGAGAAAATTTCTTACGTGCCCCCTTTTATTTGAGAATTTTTGTTACGTGCCCCTTTTATAAGCCCTTTTACATAAGCCCCTTTCCTTAGCCCCTTTCCTTGGGGGCGCTAGAGTGATGAAAAGGTGAAGAGGGCGTCGTCGGAATGAGTTTGATCAAAGGGAGCATGTTCCCTGACAAGCACAGCATCTTGATGGCATCCTTAGCCCTGTGCGCCACCGTTTGCCGATCTCACAAGGTAAAAAAGTCAGACCCTGGGCGCCTGCGTATAAAGTGCCCCTCCCAGCAGTGCTCATACATTGTCAACGCTCAACCAGACCGCGGGGCAAACAACGGCTTGTGGAGAGTGGGAAAACTCAATCTCGCTCGCTCCTGCAACGCAATAAAGGGGAAACGAAAGCGCAAGCCCCTAGCCGTGTGCTAGTGTTTGATAATCTACGCGAGCGGCATGCCAACGTCCCAGAGGCTGCACACTGGAATCATCTGGACACAAAGTGGGCATCGACTGTTTTTCATCATGCAACACTTGAACGCCAGTATGTTGCTGCTGCTGCCCTTGCCTCTCAAGTAAACATTAACGTGCATTTGCAGATTCTGCCTATTGCCAGACAGATGAGCGCGTGGAGAGTTCCGAGTCAGGCAGGTCGGCCGAAGAAACGGCGGAAACAGGGGGTCGCAGCGCCTCAACGAAAGTCGCGTTGCTCTGCTTGTGGTCAAGTTGGGCACTACGCTACGACTTGCGAAGCCCCAGACACTATGTACGTACCTCTACCGGAAAATCGTTTGGGAGTGAGGTGAAGAAAGGGGCACGTAACAAAAATTCCAAAATAAAAGGGGCACGTAAGAAATTTTCTCTTCTTTAATTCAAATGCTCTCAAAACCTCTACAGTACTAATTTCTCAGGAATTCCCAGATTCCCAGACGTTATGTGCAAGCTTGTAAACATTGTAAACATTTTACTCGCTGCAGTGTGATGCATGTTCAAACTTTGACGAAGGAGTCGGTTGAGGAAGCAGCATGCTTGCCTGCTCAACAGAATGCATATCCGCAAATAAGCGAAAAACGCCATTTTCGATTTGTGCCGAGATGTGCAGTGGTTTCATTGTCGCCCTGACAATGAACTTGACGAGGCGTTTACATCGGGGACGGACTGATTCGTCCAAACCCAAACGTCACTTCCAATTCAGACATGCGCGAGGCATCAACTTGGATTCTCCCCATCTGCCGCCATTCCGGAAATCGACAAACTTCTGAAAGGCCTGAAGTGGAATGTATTTGGATTTTTGGCCCGGTGGCCCGGTCTTGCTTTGTGATTGCCGGCTGGTCTAGGTTGCTAGTTGAAGCGAGTGTAAACCTCTTTCGCACAGCATCCGCGTCACATACCTTCGCAACAGAGAAGGTCAACTACTGGGCTAGTCTATGCAGCGTCCTCAAACCCACTCATCAGCTGATGACCGCACCAGAACACCACGTCGAAGCAGCACATGACCCAAACCAAGCGCTTGCACTCCATATCGACAATGAAAGGCATTTTGCATTTCCCCGTCAGGCTTTTTGCTGGAACCCACACCGAGCGCTGAAAGCGTGCGGCGTAAGAATGGCGGGATGGGTTGCCCGTGCCATCCGAGCAAAGGCTTTGGGGACACCCGCACGTCTTAGAGTTTTCATCTTTTCGCTTTTTTGCGCTACGATGTACTTTCTCGCAATAACATTCTTTGGACGATTGGAGACAGTGAGCAAGAATGTGTTAGATTCGTCACAAGATTTGGCAATACCACCGATTCAATATCAACATGTGCAGACTATGCCACTTAGGCGTCCCCCTAAGATTGACGACCCTTTTCGGAGGGAACGAATTGGAGGTCAAGAGAGGTTGGTACCTGATGACATCGTTCACCCCTTTGTATTTTCCGCCGTCGGCTTCCTGGCACGCAAAGAAAAGAATGCGACATATCCCGCAGTCCTTCTCTTTCTTTACTCCCAAGGGACGCTGTCTTGGACAGGGCCAGAAAATGGCTCCTTCAACATGAACGTCACGTCATGTTTAGTTGGGAAGGAGCGATTCCCAATTATCTTTAATGCAAACGGCCTGTACACGTGCTCGGTGCCCAAGCCTCTCTCTCTGGGAGAAAAGCTATCTTTAGTTGTTCCTCCAACGGTATGGGAGGTAGAACCGGACAGTGAGAGGAACAAAACAATTATGGAGTACATGTCGTCCATGCCGAAGCTAGAAGACGGTTCTTTCGTTTTGGATTCGGACGTAACATGGGATGGCAAATTTGAATCAAGCATCGGACCTGAGGAGGCAAGGTATAAGGTCTGCATGATGACTCAAGAAAAAGTCTTTCCGGAATACATTCCAGAATGGATCGCATATCATCGCCGAATCGGTGTGGACTACGTTTACATATATGACAACTGCCCTGATAAGAAGATATCGCGTATGTTTGCAAACGAGCCCGACGTTGAAGTTGTGTACTGGCCTTGGTCCAGGTCCCAGATACAAGCTCAAAATCATTTTCTCTTAGTTGGGAGGCGACGTTGCCAATGGGCTGTCATGATTGACGTTGATGAGTACGTCATGATCAGGCCGTCAGCGCCGGAAAACGGGAGTCGCTTCGGAAGGAACGAAAAGCCATTGAAGAGATACTTGCGGAAGCAGAGAGAACCGCACGATTACTCTCAAATTCGCCTTATGTCTGTAGCCCTTGGTTCCTCTGGGCACATATACAGACCTCGAGAGCCGATAGCGGAAGCGTACTGGCATATATCCAATATTCAGGACAACTTGACGAAACCAATTGTATGGCTAGGACACACAATGCCTGACAGCCTTGTGCACCATGTGAGAATGGCGCCTTCCTACTACTCACATACGACAAAATCTATGCTAGAGCCCTCTAATCCCGAAGATATTGGCCTATGCCATATGAAATATCGATCGTGGGAGGACTACGTGCGCAAAGGTCAAGGCGGAAGAAACTCTTTTCAGGTGCGTGACTGGACTTTTTCGACCTCGTGGTCTATCCACAGTCCCAGCACGAATCACATCATGAAGCGCAATGCCGGGACATTTGTTGAATTCCGCAACTTGTGGAGACGGGTCATGACGACTGAGGTGGAGCCCCCAGAGTTGGAAGCAACCAATACGATGGAGGACCGTTACAGCCGCATTGTCCGACCTGGATTTGCATGGAAGCGAAGACGAGGCTTGGATACTTCGACGCTTGTGAAGACAATTGTAGAAAAGGAAAAGTATTTCAGAAAGGTGAAAGACTGGGAAATTGCGAAGCAGGATCGACTGAAGAAGATGGGTATAGAAGTTGAACTGTGATCTACAATATTAATTAGCTCGCAATAAGTTCATACGTATGATGCACTTGGCTTCCTGTAGTTATGCTCCTCAACTGCTTGATTCGAGGGATTGGATGCGTTCGAAAGGCTGGCAGTCTTTGCGTCTGGATACGCACAGTAATGGGATTAGCAAAGGGTGCCTCTGCTTCTTCAGGATTTTTCGAAACACGTGGTCGCCACCGACCAGGCACTTGTAGAGGCCTTTGTAAGTATTTGCATCACGTAAGTCTGACTGAGAGTGATTATGAAACTTTGTTGCAACTGCGAGCATCTTTTGGAAGCTCTTGCCTTCACGCCAACGCTCGTAGCGTTTGGCGTCTCGGAATGTATTCCGGGCTGCAAGCATGCATTTTTCTCTTTTGAGATATGCTGTCATGAAAAAACCCTGCGAGCACTATGGGAGCCCCTTTGCTCTGAACACTCGGCGAGTTTCCAAGAAGCCTTCCTCCTTTTTTTCACTGAGAGCCAATTGCGACGTAACATCTTCCGAGACACTGAAGTCTTGAATTGCTAGTATTGGTCTCAACAGTATCGGTTGCCTACCGCATTTAAGTTACTTGGGAAACGGGGGGAACAAGAAATGGTGTTTGGTTGTCGGATTCCCTTCAGCGACAGACAATCTACAGCATGTCGACTTTCCCGGTTATCTTTGTTGCACAGCCTTCTCAACGAAAGTAGACAACACGTGTCCACGTGTCCCCTTTGATCCGACATGCAACACGTGTACACGTGTGGCGGAAATGAGGAAAGGTCCACGTCGCAGCACACCCGTTCGACGTCGACATTGCTTGCATCTCCTCGGAGTAGGCCGGCCCTCTCCTAAGTACGCCACGGCCTTCACAAGAATGGCAGCTTTCGCCGCGCTAGGCATTTCTTCCTGGCTTCAGCGCGCCTGCAAAACTTTGGGCATCCTCACGCCCACCCCCGTGCAACGTGCCTGCATCCCCGCCATTCTTTCGGGACGCGATGTAGTCGGCGCTGCCGAAACGGGCACAGGCAAGACTGCTGCTTTCGTGCTACCAATACTGGACGCGGTGGGTCGTGACCCGTACGGAATTGCGGCCATAATCCTCACGCCAACCCGCGAGCTTGCGTTCCAGATAGCGCAGCATGTGAGCGCATTGGGCGCGCCGATAGGCATCAGGGAATATACGCTTGTGGGGGGAGTGCACGAGCTCGCACAGGCGGCTGCACTGGAGAAGAGGCCGCATGTAGTAGTGGCGACGCCGGGGAGACTTGCCTTGATGATTCGACGTGGAGTGGTGGATCTGGCACGTGTGAGGTTTTTAGTCTTGGACGAGGCGGATAGATTATTAGACCCAAGCTATGTGGACGATTTGAAAGCTGTGGTGGGAGAATGCGACTCGGAGAAGAGGCAGACGCTCATGTTTTCCGCGACAATGACGGCATCCCTGAGGGAGTTGCAGGAGGTGGCGATGGGAGCGAACGCGATGCGGTTTGACGCGCGTGAGAACCGTTACGCAACAGTGGAGGGGCTGATGCAAACATACTTGTTTGTGCCGCAGCATCTGAAGGAGTGCTACCTTGTTTACTTGCTGAAAGAAAGGTTTGAGAAGGAGAGTGTCATCGTGTTTGTGAGCAGGTGCGAGACTGCAGAGCTGATTGTGGCTATGCTAAATTTGCTGGGGATGAAAAAAGTGGCTGCGTTGCACTCGGATATGAAACAGACGCGGAGGATCGAGGCGCTGCAGAAATTCAAGGGACAGAGTGTGCGAGCGTTGGTGGCGACGGACCTCGCGTCGAGGGGGCTAGATATTCCGGCATGCGAGGTTGTGGTGAATTACGACGTACCGAGACAAGCGGCGACATACGTGCATCGCGTGGGGAGAACGGCCCGCGCTGGGAAGGAGGGGATTGCCGTGAGCTTTGTGACACAGTCAGATGTGGAATTGGTGCATGCCATTGAGGCGAGGACTGAGAAGAAATTAGAGAAAATAGAGGACGTCAAGGAGGAGTTGGTCATGAAGGAGTTATCTAATACGTTAAAGGCTAGGCAAATTGTGAAGATGAACTTGGATGAGAGTGGGTTCTTGGAGCAAGGGGACGCTAAACGGGAAGGTGCTAGGAAGAGAGCGAAGAGACGGAAAAAGGAAAGGAGCAAGACTTCTAAGTAGTAAGGGAAAGCTACTAATGTCCTGTGTTTCGATTCTGCGAGAGAGCGTTCCTGCCAGAGATGAGTGTCCGGGGCTTCGGGGTGGTTGTGAGATTGCACCTTCTCATACGAGGTAAGCACAGTCCTTCAGTGCAGTGGTATATCCGACTGCCCTAAGACAATCCCTGGGCGATCTCTGGACGATATCTGGAAGATACAAGCAGCTCTGCTCTCCCGACAGCCGGGCAGCGTTCAGAACTCTGCCGGGGGAATATCTTTGCATGCTGAAGGGGTGCCTCTGTTTCTATTGAGCTGAGCATCAGGTCTCACTAAGCCCTGTAAACGTGCTCCTCCACCAGCGCTTCCTGAGCATTACGGATGTGTGGTGAACGGACATGCTAGCGTCATTCCACAACTTCAGTAGAGGGTGTTTGGTGTCACTCACGTAATGGCCGAGTCCTCATCGTCAACTGGCAGCTGCTCATGTTCATCATACTATACTAGTAAGAAGCTGTACGTAATTATCTATGATGCCTGCACATTCATTCTCGCAGTAAACTTTCGAAAAATGACGAATGACACTTGCTCTTGGTTGCCTGGCGAAAGAATAAAAAAGTCTAGGAGGCTGCCTACGGCATCGAGCCAACCTGAAAAGCGAAGATAGCACAGGTAGCAGCTCATGATCACAAATTTAGAGAGTAATAAAACCACTGATGCTGGTGCTGCCTAAAAGCAAAACTGATGGAACTCGGACAGTCGTTCTCCTGTCGGTTGTCTTAAAAGTAGGTGCTGGATCTCATATCTTCAGGTCAAAGTGTGAAGAGATGCAAAACTGCAGAAACATGTGTGATGTCGTGTCATCGTTCCCGGGTGAGTTGCATGGTTTTATATCCGAAAATGAAGAGACTTCTGGCGCACCCATGAGCTGACATGGTTCTTGCAAGGGGTCGGGGCTATATTTTTCTTCCCAGCTTTCATCTGGCTGCTGTGCTTTACAAATTGTTTCATGCTCCCCGTCGTTGTTAGAACGACTGACTCACCTAGTCATTTCCACAGTACTGCCGGTAGCTTCGTTTGATAGATTGCTTTGTCCCCAGCTGATTAACTCAAATTGCCCTTCACGAGGACAGATCTTTGCCCTGGCTTCTCCTGCGCAACAGTATTCTTACCAAACGAAGACTTTTCATCCTTCTTCAGGTTTGGTTTTTGCCGTTCTGATCATCTCTGCAGCTGCATCATGAGACGTTCATCTTCCAAGTTGATCACGCGCGCCAGAAGCGTGCGAAACATGGGCAAGGTCCCATTCAAGTTCAAGTTTGACTTGTTAGTGGAAACGGTAGAGAAGCTTGCTGCTTCCGGAGATGTTGTAGTTGTATGGGAGCGCAGCAACAACAAAGCTGAGGCAACCAAAGCCGCAAAAATTGACCGCACTACTCGAAAGGCCTCTTTTGCAAACGAACGCATCACCTCTGAGATTACGCTGTTTAAGACTCAGCCATCTGAACGAAAATTCCAGGACAAAGTTGTAAAGCTCGCCATCAAAGCAAACAATATTGATGGGAAAACTCTTGGAAAGATTCACCTCAACCTTGCAGACTACGCAGAAGTGCCGTCTGGATCTAAGAGAATCAGTGCCGAATTAACAAATGGGTCCACACTCATCGCGAGTATACAATGCGTTTTCCTATCGATGGGAAAAACCGCTCCAGGGAAAGCCGGGGGGAAATCTGAAGCTTCAGATTCTGGCGATGAGCTTGCAGATGACATGGACTCAGACTCCAGGAGAGGAGCAAGTGACGACACTCCATCAAGTTTCTTGAAGAACAAGTTAAAACTCACCCAAGCTCACTCGAAGAAAACCTCCGGTCGACAGGAGAAGAGAAGTAAGGATGATGAGAACAACTGGGATGCTTCAAATGGAGCTGACGGGGGCACTATTGATCGATTAAAGAAAGAAAACGCTAGACTGAAGAAGCAGGTGGAGGAGTCCAGCTGCTCCAGCGACGGAAAGCTTTCAGACGAGAACAAAAAGCTTAAAATTGAAATCAGGGATCTGCGAACGGCACTTTCGCGTGAACCAGTTTACGCTGACGTAGTACGAGAGTTGAAGGAGGCCAAAATGGCGCTTGCATTTTTGCACTTGGAAAAGGAGAAGGTGTTGCTTGAACTAATGAAATATCAACGGGGCGAACTATCTCCGTCGAAGACATCACGCTAGGACAGGGTGCCAGCTTCGAAAATTTCGGACCCTGTAGACGCTAAGAGCCTTTCGCACTCCGCAGTGCAGCAAAATTTTCGCACATGTGATGCAACATGACATCGTTTGATACTCCTGCTGTGTACGATCAGTGGCACGGGCAAACGAGGTGAAAATAGACAAGCTCGTCAATCCAAACGAACTAAAAATGGACAGCATGTCCATGATCTTATTATGTTGTCAACCTAGCTCTATACATCTTGAATTTTTAGTGACCGTTATTGTTACACAGTTAACAAGTGACGTAGTTTGTATGTAGTGTGGCCAGAGAACCGCGCAGATTGCCCGCAACAACTGAGCCGTTAATGATAGCGTTACTAGTAGTAAACGATGCCGTGGGGGCCAAGAGCGAAGCGTGTAATTTCGCGTTGTACAAACCAAACGATCCATAGACGGCACAAAAGACAATCAAGGTGCGTCTAGCATTAAATCCCTCCATGCCGAAGTCGCGAAAATCCACCTTGAGCCCTGAGACAACGATGACAATATTTCTATAGAAATCATCCCCTGCATAAACCCATTTCGTGATAAGTCGCAGCTCATCGGTCCGCACTTTGAAAAAAGTATAACAAGAGAAGCCCGGATCCCCCGGACGAAACGTCATCGTCCCGTTTTCACTTTCCACCTCTCCTGTTGGAGAGGTCACACACATATCGCCGGTCTCTCTAAGCACATTTCCGCGCAACACATCAAACTCAATATCGCCGTTTCGCTGCGGATCGTACTGCTCCACGCGACTAGTGCACGTCATCTTGACGCTGTGATCAATTCGGCTACGACTCCCAACCACAGTATACCCGCTATTGACGGCGCCCATGCGGGCGGTAAGCTTGCCAGCGACGACTAGCGCTCGAGCATCCTTGTCACAATTTCCATTGCCGGCAACGTCGAAATCGGCAAGCTCGGCACTGCCCTGGACAGCAAGAGGACCCTTGATGGCAGCGCGAGCCAGGGCTACGTCTCCGAAAATTACAACGTTGTAGTCAGAGAATAGTTTCTTGTGAGAGGCGGGGATATACGCGTCGACCGACTCAGAGGGCCCCGCGAGTGTGATGAGGGGCAGAAGAGACCATAATAGAAGAAGGAGGGATGCAATTCGGCACATCGTACTTCTTGCATGAAAATGATACCTGGACTAGCGCTTTCGAGCAGATCACAGCAGAAGAGTCGACCGAGATCCCGTTCACGAGGGTGAAGAGAGGGAGGTTCAGATAGTTGTTTCGCATGCACTAGCGTGAAAAGAATAGTCAAGTGCAAATTGCATGCATGTCAGGAGGCTTTGCAGTCGCCGCGCGTGAGGGGGGAACAACCGGTTAACGTTCACCATCTACAGTAAGTCCTTTCTCTTTATCAAAATCTGAAAATAATCACCTGAGATCGCTTTCCTGTAGCTGACACCGTCTGTATGTGTTCCTGCTTCACTATGGTAGTCTGTGATAGGATGTCACAGTCTCTATTGCATGCAACTCTCAAGTGTTTACCGACATTGCAAGTGAGCAAATCATGCTCATCGATCCAGACAAAACACTAATGCCAGCTGGGGTATCAAAAATTTGTTCAACTGATCTTACACTCGTGTGCGGAATCTTCACATGTTCATACAGCCATGATAGACATGGCTCCGGTTGCCATGACTACGTCTCGTCCCGTATGCACAAACATAGCCTCAAAGTCATTCGTTCCGTCTCGCAGCTCATTTCCTACAACTTGTCTACCACGGTGCCATCTACTATATATCCAGAATGCCGCGCGAAAAGGCGCAAGAAGCGAATGAGCGATGCTCGGCTCTACAGCGCTTGTGTAGACGGACGCTTCAATATTGTTGACCACGATACTTCCGCTCATTGTATGAGGATTGTATAACCCGACTTCCCATATCTTTTCTATTCTCGTCACAGCCGCACTTCCATCTTTGGTGTACACAATTTCTCCTATTTGCAAAGAAGCAGCTGTGCTTAACCCCGCAGGTGTCTTCACATAGTGTCCAGACGATAAAGTAAGCCTATCACCGCTGTCTGTATGTATGCTGATAAATTCTGCATGCGCTGATGATGAGCGATGGCTAAACATGTATATTGGAGAGTACGAACCGGATCCATCACGGACGCGGTCCCCGACTCTGAGGTCACGCATCAGGACGGTTGTACCCGTATCCAACTGAACATAAGCCGCACCCGGGAAGCACATCATAGTTTCCCCAGCTTCTTCACGGCGGTTGGGATCAAGATATATCTGAGGACAGACACGTTCGTGCTCCACCTCACTCTGCTCTGCAAAAGAAATATGGTACGGCCTCCCTTTCCGGATGAGAAACTCCTCATTTTGGTTTGGGAAGAGATTCTTCAAGTTCACTGGGTTAGCATTATTCTTGCTGAAGAAGATCAGCGTGTTCTTGGGCATACGCAAAACACCGGTCAAATCATCACCGCATACGCGTTCAGATCGCCTCTCAAACCCAACGAAAGTATTTGATTCTGTTGGGTTCTTCGAATATTCTTTCAATGAAAAGTCAAGGAAAGCTCGCGGGTATCTACGCTGCATGAGCTTAAAGAATGCCGCGTTGGTGTCTTTCTGGAGGGAAATTGTTTCGTTTGCAAGATAAATTATGGGCATGAGTTCCATATGCTTATCGCCCCAAAGCTCATCTTCTGTCGCATTCTCTCCTTTGGTTCCACACCTTTTGCCGTCCATCAAAATTCGAGAATGAGGGACCCTATAAGTACCATCTCCCTTCGCAATGAGGTCGGTATACTGTACAGAGTAAGATTGACAATAATCCAATGGGAGCCCTGCGTGTATCCTCAGAAATGGACCAACTTTGATGTCCTGAGCTCTGAAAGCCCCGCTCGCAGTTGAGCTATTCAGAGCTCGTGGCTGAGAGCTGTTTCGCTCTGCAGAAACGCCACCTATCTTCGGCATGGAAATCGACGGAGACCGAAGTGGTCCTGCCGTGGATGCTCTCAGATAAAACGCCAAGTTCAAAAAGCACCAGAGTCGCATCATCATTTTCTCTCTGCGACTGCACCTTCGATGTGGAGTTCGTTCGCTCCAGAAAAGCACACACCGATGTTGAAGTGACTGCTGGAAAGTTTATGAAGAAGGTGGGTAGGGTATAATATTGACAGAATATTCAAGTAATGACCCTCCCTTTAACAATATCAATAAGAAAGCCCCGAGGCAGGGACGGGTGAAGGGGTCCTAGCAACGCTGCGGAAACATGTCTTTCGGGGCGTGGGGTAGATTTCGTGGGCCCAGAAGGACTTTCACATGGCGGTTGACCTGGTCTGTTGTCATTTCTGACTGCCGGGGAGGTAGGATAGTGTGAGATGTAATACTGCGTGAAAACGGGAATTCTTTCCTGGATTGTGCATGTGGGATGACGGGTGACTAGTGACATCTCGGGTGCGCAGGGAAAGAAAGCGCGAGGTTCTCGCTGGATAAGTGGAAGACATGTTTCAATAGAGACGAGAAAATGTTGTACACAAATGTGTGGAGCCGCGACGATGCAGGGCACTCGTATGGGCAACTATGGTCCGCTCTAGCTAGTATCTGGCACAAACACATGGAAGTACTAAATGGAAGATTTTTCGGCTACGACTAGTTGCTTGCTTGGGATGTAGATCAGGAGAATTGAAGAATCTCAAGTGCTGGGCACCCAGCCAGTAGACTGCCGGTGGGCCTTTTTAGGCGTAGGAACGTCAGTGTCGATCTGTTGCTAGAGTCTCAGACTGTCGCGAGTACAGCTTATCATGTTACAATTTTGCATTTAAGTACTAGGCTATGTGTTTTGTCCGATACCCGCGCAGGGTAGTTGAGTCTAGTGAAGGAGAGCAGAACATAAGCACTGGCCGTTGCGACCAAATGAAAGGATCACTTGTGTGATATGGAAACTCAGATTGGTGGGTTGCATGGCCCTGAATAGAAAAAGATCATCAAGAAACAGTTCACGATGGAACATGTCAGACTCGTCTATTTTCAATCATCATGGTTTCGATCAAGTGACCCTAGCATTACTGCTCCTTGCCCAAGTCCTTCGGCTGGAATATCAGCTCCGTAGCCGATGGCACACCCCAACAGTCAGGCTGGTGCCAAAATGGTCAAATGCGCCATCGCCACGGAGACGTACGACATCGAGTGGATGTGCGGAAGGAGGCAGACGAGCGATCGTCCATTTGTTGAGGAACAAAAGTGGTCGACCTTGGATCGAAGGCGGGGATGGCAGTGAGCATTCCGTTTATAAAAGGTTTGAGAGTGCGCAATGCGGACGCCGGGTCGGGCGGCGATCAAAGGGTCACCGGCTTACAGTAGCCTGTCAGAGGGCATTACAGACTTTGTAATGCCCTCTGACAGGCTACTGTACTCCCCCTTCAAAATCCTTCTTCTGTAATTCAGTCACAAAATACATAATATGTATTTTGTGACCATATTATGGTCTGTATTACAGACCATATGTATTTTGTGACTGAATTACAGAAGAAGGATTTTGAAGGGGGAGTGGGACAGGCTCTCAGAGAGTGATTGAAGTGCAATCAAGATGCGTATTTGTCACTCTTTTACTGGATGTAATTATTTGGAAGTGACAAGCCAAAAGCCGCCAATTGTTTTGGATATGATATAAATGCTAAGCAGGAAGACCAAGTTTCGATAAATACGTTAGTTTTAGTAATCCTCACGCTGGCCAATCGCCGGTGCACAAGAAAGTACAGCCATGCCACGGAGCACATCGAAGCACCCATTCGCTACCCATCCCTGCCTCCTCCATGTCAAGCCCGACCCCTGCCCCGTCCCCCCTCCCCGACCTCAACCACCACTCTTCCAGTGAAGTCGTTTAGTCGCCTGTCCGACCGCGACCCCGTCCGCCCCCTCCTCCCCCCCCCCCTTCCCACGCCCCGCATGTATGACTAGCCGATCAACCTTTGTCGCCCTTGCGTTGCTCGCCGCGCTATTTTCCTCGTGCGCAGTCATCGCACGTGGCGCCGGTTCCAGCCAGCCGCAAAATGCCCCCGCCATAACGCTCGCGCCCTCTGCGGACGATCTCATCGCCGCCACCGAAGATTCTCTGCTCGAGAAGCGCAAAATCGCACATGCCAAAGACGTCTCCGCGGGCCGCGAGCGTGCCTACGTCGTCGTGCTTACGGGCAAGGACTTTGGCGAGGATGAATTTAGAATCGCCGTCCGCATCAATGGTGCCGCCGCCCCAGACATCATGCTCCACAATTCCACTGCGTTTTCGTTTCGCATCCCGACTCATATGGTCCTGGATAAAAAGCTGATGGATACCTCCGTCGTCGAGATCCATATTGGGTCTGACAAGCTTACCAACGTTCCACTCAAAGTCCTCGAGCGTGCTCTAGTCAAGGTCGACCTGGATGAGTACAAAGACAGAATTATTCGCCAACGCCTTGGTATGGAGGAATCGCGTTCAAGAGCCTCAGAGGTAGAGGAGGAAGCCATGGTCCTTGCTGACGAGCCAGAAGAGGATACCGCTGCAACGGACGGTGGCCAATTCTCCCCTCACGAAGAGCCCTCCACTGATGGTCAAGACGTGCAGGACACTGATGGTGCGGCAGAAGGGGAAGAGAAAAGAAAGCAGCGCCAATTGGATGAGCGCGTCTCCGAGGCAGAGGATTTGCTTGCGAAGGGCACGCGTGCAGAAGGGGAAGCTGCACGCCGCATACTGTCCGAAGCTGTTGCACAAGGTGACGTTCGCGCGATGACCATGTACGGAACCGCATCGTTGAGCGGGACCGCACCTTCTATACCACGTAATTTCACTCGCGGCATTGAGTTGATCACCTTGGCGAGCGATAAAGGGTACCCTGATGCTCAAGCAATGCTGGCATTTGCCTATGCGAGCGGTATCGCAGGTGACATACTGCCAAAAAATGTCGGGGCGGCCCTGCTTTTGTGGTCAGTCGCGGCAGAAGGCGGTTCCATGTACGCCAAGATGGCCATCGGATATCGCCGTTTGTCGGGCACCGACCTTAAGGAAGACTGCGAGAAGGCCTCAGAGTATTACAAACAAGTCGCGACAGACGTTTTCATGGATGAACGGGAGAGAGCAGAACAGCAAACTGCACCGGAACAGTCACAGACAGAAGATGATGACCTTCCGCAAATTCGGTCGCCTACTCCCAGTGCTATCTTCACCGCAGAGAGAAGCCGTCTAAACGCAGATATCACGCAGCGTGTCCTGGGTGAAGCCAATGAGTATGTTCAGTACTATCGTCATATGGCAGACCGCGGGCATGCGGCCCTTCAAGTGCAGCTTGGGAACCTGTATTTCCACGGTGCCATGGGTATACAACCGGATCTTAAAAAGGCTCGCTCGCTATTCCAGAAGGGAGCTGCCAAGGGGCGGACAGATGCCCATGCTCATCTTGGCTTCATGTATTTACGCTTTGGTTGGCATGACAAAGCTGTTTTTCATTTGCAAAAGGCCGCTTCGGGAGGAGATAAGCTTGGTTTCCACGGCATGGGCTTCGTTACACTGCGTGGCATAGGAGTGGAGAAGGATCCCGAGAAGGCATTCCAGTTCTTTAAAAAGGCAGCAGAGTTGGAATACCCGGAAGCCATGTTTAATCTTGCAATCATGAGTATGCGAGGGGTCGGAACGACACATTCCTTTAACGATGCGTTCGTTTACTTTCGGAATGCAGCCGACTTCGGCCATGTACAGAGCAATTTCTATCTTGGGCAGATGTCTTTCACCGGCAACCATCCAGCAAAGAAGGTCTGCTCGACAGCCAGTGGATACTTCAAAATTGTGGCTGAGCAAGGCGTTTGGAACAAAATATTCTCGAAGGCATACCGGGCATATGAGCGTGGCGAGTATGCGAGCGCTCTATTCTGGTATCTTTTCGCGGGGCATGCAGGTATCGAACTCGCACAGTACAACGCAGGTTTCATGTACGAGCGGAACGCACTCACGAACTCAGAAGGTATTGGCCCTGCGCCTTGGAAAACCTGGAGCGAGAGACCAGAAACTGGCCTTGCAGACCGCAGCGATGTTGTGGAAGAGGCTCTCGAACTATACCAAATGAGCGCCTCTCAAGGGTACTCCGACTCATTGGTCCGAGTCGGTGATCTGGTGTTTGGAGAGTCTCAAGACTACCCGCGCGCGGCCTCGGCATATGAAAGGGCCGTGAAGCAAAGAAACCCAGAAGCAATGTTCAATCTTGGGTGGATGCATGCTCGAGGCCTTGGCATGAACCATGATAAGCATATGGCCAAAAGATACTTCGACCAAGCGAGAGAGACAGAAAAAGATGCCTTTTGGCCAGCTACAATTGCCCTCTACTCACTGAAATATTCTGACTCCTTGTTCAAATTTGCGGACATGATTCGGTCTTATCTGGAACCGCTGTCGACTGCAAGCGAGCAATACCACCCGTCTGGACAATGGGCATCTACCGAATTTCACATAGCTGGACTAGATGTATTGTTACTATCAGCTTTGACGTGTGCTTTGGTGTGGGTGGTGCGGAAGAGGCAAGAACGCCTCGGTTCAGCTGATTTGAGGAGCCGAGGAGCTCGAGATCAAAGTGTTGAGGACGAAGCACCACCGCTTCCTCCCCAACATCTTCACGAGGAATAGCGATTGTGTTTGTTCGAAGGTGGATTGTGTTGTTTTATGCCGTTGCTCCAAATGTTCAGGGCGTCGGAGACGTCGCGAGATGACTCGGCTCTAGTGAGATATCAACCGCTTCTGAAAAAGTGCATTGTACAGTGACTAGTAAATGTCAAAACCCAGCTTAGAGTGACAGAACCCGACAACTAAGCCCTGTGCAGCAACATCCGAACCATGCATGTGGGGCACAGACAGACAGTCAAAATAACATACATTCATAGCTTTATGTAAGTAGCCATATGACCAACTTGACTTTTTATCTTGGTGGAGTATAGGTTGTCAATACTCGACACAGGGCACACGTCCTGAGTGTCGTTGCACCAACAGTTAGCCTTTCAGATGTCGAAGGTCAGTCTTCTATTTAAATTTAATCCTAAAAAAACCAGCTCTCAAAGATGATTCAACAACGTTGTGAAAAGCGGAGACAAGCTCTTCGGAAAAGAGTGGATCGGCGCGACGCTTCGAGAAAACTCGACGTCTCACGCGGGCAGTTTTTAAATCGATTTGGTCTCCTTGCGGAGTGTCTGGCCATGAGGAAGAACCCGGCCTTTCCATTACTCTCAAGGAAGTAGTCGACGCAGGCCTACACCGCAAGGAACCCCTGTGATCTAAGAACGAAGATGCAGATATTGTATACTCACCGAAGAAAACCAAAAAGGCATGGCGATTAATGGGAAACTTGGGATTGTTGCGAGGTCAAACGTCCCAGGCAGAGAAGGGACGGTGGTCGCGAGAAGCTCATCAGGACTTGGTAGTTCAAGCGGTTTGGAAACATCAGGCGGTCGCGCAGTGGCAGTTTGTGCTCTTTACGCTGATAGCAGCACTTTTCTAGTCATTTTCGCAGCATGCGGGACAACATACGTTATGCAGGTGGCTGAAACTGAATTCCGAGTAACTGCGAGTACAAGACGACTGAAAGGTGCAGCCCAGAAATCCCAGGTGCCTGGGGACCACATATTTAATACGAGTTGGAAGGTTCCGCGTTCCGAGAAATAATTGTGAGATGGTTTGTCGTCGCGCTTCCTGTTGCGTGCTTCGGCTAAAAACGAGAAGAAAGAGTGGTGTAGGAAAAGGAATTTTTTTTCACAAGTTTCTTGTATCAGTTGAAATATCGATATCGATTATGTTGTTCACGTTTCAGTTCCAACCTTGTGGACTTGAAATGTTCGTCAGTGATCATGGTTGCGCAAGGTGATTACGCTCAGGCTAATCATGATTGACGGCTTTATATGTCCTGATGATTAAGCATGAATACTTAATCATCAGGACACATGAGTTCGGCGACATGCATTTGTTGAATGTTGAATCTGGATGGAGAAGGTTGTGGACAATCGAAGTTTCATTTCGAGAGACTATGTACATGCCTTTTCTATAGGTTTGGACACATAAAAAAAATCTAGTGGTGGTGCGACTGTGTGGTTCGGATTCTCATGTGGTCCACTCCATCGCTTTTTTGAGCAATTTGCTGTGCTGAGAGTGCCGTTCGATGCGAGTCGTGAAAGAGCAATTGATTTATGCCTCCATGCTTCGCAAGTGGGGTACGATATGAATCAAGATGCCAGAGGATGTTGAACTTGACTACAACATAAGATGTTGAAGGATGCTGATCTGGCATTGTGATTGTGTGTGAGTCCATGAGGGGTGTATTGTAAGCCTTGTAGCGCTGTGCCTCGAGAGAACTCGTTTCCCTATGAGCTCACCGGTAGAAGTAGAGAGAGTACTATGGCGATAATCACCAAAATGTTTGTGGGCTTTTTCGCCAAGCTTGATACATGCAGTAGCTGAGTTCGGACCTCTGCGCTAGCCGCAGGACTGCCCCCGGCTCTTGAGTTCCACTCTCAAGGAGGACGAGTGGTCGATAAGTGGTGTGGACTCACGGCGAGGAGAAAACATGCATTCAAGTTTCTTCAGAATAAGAAAAAAAAAGTGCGACTGCAGATAGGGTAGATATGATACCGGAATGCACTGCTATCCTACCCTTCTGGCACTAATAATACCTTGTACTGTATGTATACTGTTCTGTGAATTGCGCGGAGTGTTCCACCAAGAGGACGGGGAGGCGGATAGATGAGAGACATGAAAATTGCCCCACCTCATTAGTAACAAGCGTCCTAGAAGGAAATTGGAATGGAAACTGCTGTACCTGACACTCAAGGGCTCTTGAAGGGGACAATACCTTTTCGACGTGGTGCGAACTGCTTTTCTCTCTATGCATGTCACGTCGTGATCCCCGTCTGATGGTGATATTACTTGCTGGCAGAGGAACTGTGCAACCAGGGCCCCTTTCTGCTTTCGAAAAAAATAAATAAAAGGGGGGAGGGGGGGAAGGCGGGTTGGTTTGATGAGAAACGGATCGCGGCATGGGATTGGTCTCGAGGCAGACCTTCCAGTATTCCTGTTGCGTGTCCGTAGTATGCTATGAACGTGACCCGCTCTCAGTCAAACTTGTGCGGTTTCAATGAAAACATGATTGTATAAGGAACGTATCTAATTTGCGTGTGACTTTATGTGGCTTCAAATACTTGCTGTAATTGGCGCCCCACTTCCTTGAGAACGAGGCACCATGTTCGTGTAGACACTTGGTGGATACGTGCACTCCTGCTTGGAAGTATTCGATGGAGAAGTTTTCTGAAGCTGGGACATACACTGGTACCTACCTCCCAAGTGATTGTTTCTGAATAAGAGTTGGGTTGTCAATCTGCCGAACGAGTGTGTCGCCATTCGACTGGGTTCCGCGAATGCGTGAAAACAGATATCTTTGGTTGTAGACGAAAAGCTTCGCTGAAGACGTGAAAGGGCGCTGACCGGAACTGAGCATCCGAGTTAAAAGCGGTAGTGTAACAGTGCAGGAGGGTGCGTTGACGAGGAATTGCATGTACGGTATGACTGTTGACACATCATATTTTTTTTGCTATTTCAATCGAAGTATGGGTGGCAAGGTGAGAAAGGCTGGGCGCTATCTACCCCTCGAAGGGTTTCTAGAAATGGTCGCGCCCATGCCGTCAAGGCAAAAAGGGCGAGTACTCTAGAAAGTTACCTCAAGGAAGGCCCGCGTTATGGGCCATTCAGAGGGGGTCAAGAAGAGCGAGGTAAATTATGTTGAATGGGGTACAACTTGCGACAAAAGCATGAAAATTCGGAATGTATTGGCATGAGATGTACTTGTATGTTCGGGTCGAAGGGTGTCGATGGCAACCAATACAGTAACGTAACGGAGTCAGCATCTGGTACTACCAACACCAGACTTGTTGCCCAATAATGTCTCAGTTGACGTTGCCTACGACAGGCACTCGGCGACAGGCGTCTACAGCATGCAAGCTTTAAGACTTTTCGCTAAATGATGTTTGTAAGACCGCCTCGGTCATCAACTGTACTCCGCTGCAGGCAGGTGCGATGTTCCCCATTCGGGTCGCCCATTCTGCAACTGTCCATCTGAACCGTGACCTTCGTCACGGTCGATTCGCACGCTGAACCCCATGGCTCCTGAATAATCCCTACAAATTGCCCCTCCTAGGTGCCGACGCGCAGCCGACAACGGATTCACCTCCGATGTCGTCAAACGCTGGTTCAATTTCCCACCTCAGTCTACGTACGCAACAACAAACCACAGAGCGATTTATCCACAGAACCGTCACGTCCCTCGAGAGCACGTCTGGAGCCCATCAGTCCCTGCCTTTGACACCTCCTTTTCGAAACCATGTACGGAACTACAGGTTAGCACAAGGTTAAACGCCAGCTACCACGTTTCTGTACCCCCCCAAGCCCCTAGTCCTTCGATACTTCAGTACATACTGTACAGTACTTGGTTCATCACTTATATTGCTGTACAATACTATACAGTACTGGTAAAGTATCATCACCCTGTCTTCTGATATCATGTATTCTGGCAATCAACTTACAATTCATACCGTCTACCATTCTGCATCCCATCTCCTTCGAACGTCTCGCAACCTATGCTCTATTGGAGCACTGTGCATGTAGCTTCATGAAGGGGTACTACGTCTGCAGCGCACACGATGTGCACGCTATAGACAGACAACAGCAGCGCACAGACAACTGGCTCTTCTCACCTGTCCTTCACGCCTACTCGCGCTGGTGTAGCGAAGGATGCCCGGAAAGGGAGTGAGAGAGCTCTCGTCTTCACATCTATTATGTTCTTCTTCAGTTGCAGAAAAGGGGGGCTTTTTCAAGCCTGTGCGCTAAACGATTCATAACAGCCCGACTTCTGTATTCTTTGACACTCTCCTGTCGTTTGTCTCCCTGTAACAGTTCACGTGTTTCTTCTTTTTCCCTACCGTGATTACCAAGTATAAATGTGTTGTGGTGTATTGAGTGTAATGGCAACTCCGTTAGAGAGGACACAAAATGCCCCTGCCGTTTTGAAAACAGCAGAGGCATTTCTACTGTTCTCTGCATATCTTGCTTTGTGTAGCAACAGATGATTTTACCGTAAATCTTTCAAGAAACAATCGGCATCAGAAGTATTTATCTATACTGTACTAACAGTTCACTTTTCCACTTATACAAATGTGGTGTGGAAACTCTAGTGTCGCCCACAGAACTTCTGATTTTCTCTCACGACCTCTCATGCAAAAGATACAATAGGTATAATAAAAGAGCAGTCTAAATCTTTCACCAAAAGCCACAAAATCCTCACATGCTGAGACTATAAAAGCTTCTCCATAGTGGCTAATGTCGAGACTTTTCAATGTGAAGTACCTGCAAACTAACCTGTTCGTTGAAACCATGTTTTCACGTTTGAGAACTTGCAGTCAATATGTGATGCCAGGGAAACGCCTCTGGGCCCACCAGTTCCCATCAAAAAGCTCAGGCACTGCTTGCAATACCGTTCGGCGTAAGGGAATTGGCTTTCAAAAGGCCGATTTCCCCGGACTAACTGGTTACGCAATCAACCAAGTATCATAATGTTAACCTCCGTCAATTCAGGCAAGCTGAAAAGCACAATATGATCCTCGTACTTGTATTCTGCAGCGCGGCACGACGGCCCGATTTCCCACGTGTAGAGGATGGCAACACACGTGTGTATTTTTCTTGCAACAACAAAACACGTTTTAGAAGCATGGGTCCAGTTTTACTCTTCCATCGGGCTACATGTTCTGCGAGCATTTTGCTCTCTTTACCATTTGATTACAAACATCGCATCACTGTTCGACATGATGTGAAACAGTTTTGAGCAAGCTGGACCTCCAATCGACTGAGGAAAGCCGCTTGTTTCCAAGGCCTACACTTTATGTCCACGTATGGGTGCCTTTTTCGGACGCTTTGTATTCTGCGAGAGCTTTAAGTGACTTGAAACCCTCTTAATTTTGAAGATGACAACGGTTGAGGCCCTTTCACCATGCCCCTGAGATCAAACGGTACTGGGGTAGTTGT